TCCCAATTTCCAAAACAAAATTAATTACTCTCCCCTTAAGGTCTCAGAGGACTTTGAAGTCACTTGTCTTGCAGCGTTGTAGTTAACATTTTCTGTGTTATTCTTACCCCTTAGGATGTGAGCTACTCTAGGAAAAAAATCATGACTTATTCTTTTAACCCCCGTACTGAGGTCCATAATATGAATAAAAGGGACTTTGCTTTTTTATTGTTTTTCAACGTGTGTTGCCTTTTTTAGGGTAGACATTTAACTGGACATTCAAACTTGTTTATTGATAATGTTGCTTCACACTCATTTACAAGATATTGAACACTTCTTTTACTTAATTAAGTTATAATCTTTCTAAAATTCTAATTCAATTATACCAAATGTATATATTATATAAAATAAAATGGTATTAGTATCTATCTGCATTTGACGATGATGTTTATCTTCCATATAAACAGACAGAATTTCTTTATTGGCGTATTGCTATAACAAAGCTAAATGTCTTAGTAGAATTTTTAAAAAGTCACCTGTACCTGACTGCAAGTTGTTTCCATGTAGCCAATGACAATACCCTGTTGAGCAGCTTTCTAAATTTGAGGTATATCTGGTCAGAAACCAGCAGAGAAAAAAACGTAATTATGCCAAACTTTCAAGACACAGTGGACTCTTTTACAGCCTCCCCTTACCCCCCAAACAATTGTCTACATGAAAGGAATAAAAACAGTAGGATTGTTTTGTTTTGCTTTGCTTTGAAATCCTGTTTCACTCACGGGAGAAAAGAAAGTAAATGATATAGTATAACTCCATTGACAAAAAGACAAAGTGCGGGTTAGGCTGTAGATCTTAAGATTTCTGGTTTGGTTCCCATTTCAACATTTCTGTCATTAACTGTATACCTTTGTCCATAACATTTTAATCTCTCTTAGACTAAAAAATATACAGGACAATATGAGAGCCAGTCCTTTTTCTCATACTTCTGCAGTGCTCCCACCTTATAAAAAAGCCTCTTTCTATTTCTGTAAACAAAGCACTTCGATTGGGGTTAAATTGTGACCCAACCCATATAGAATTCCAGTCTACACCAAGTAGTATTGCAGGGAATCTCTAGTGTGCATGCATGCATAATCATACTCCATGCCCTCAGGGTTGAAAATGTGGTTATATCTGATAATATAAAGCAGCTTTGAGCTGGTGATAGGTTAACATTAAAAGGATTAAGGCTTGCATTGACATGGACTGACATACAAAAATTGGATTTAATGCTAACAGCTGGAATGCTCAGGCAAATAAAGAGTAAGTAAGGGAAAGACAAATGGAGTTAAATTAGAGCAAGTGGGTGTGAAAGTTATGCCCAGGATGATTTTCAACTCAGTTTTAAAATGTTTCAGTCAAGGTCTAAAAAAGGTAGAGTTGGCATCAATTCTTATCAATGATTATAAAATATAGGAAAAAGTCTCCAGTGGAAATTTTCATTTTGCAAGGTAAGTATTGTAACACTGGAAACTTTTTTTTAAAAGAGAAGTGACTAATCCTGTGGCTTTCTAAGTGCTTTTCAGCTTCACCACCCTTGAAAAACAAGCTAACATTTTAAAATATAGAAGACCTGTTAAGTCTCAGGAGGCAGATTTTTCTCTCAGCATATTAGTCAGAAAATTAACTTATAGGTCTGAGCCACACAGGTTAACCTTGATTGCAAAACTTTTTGACGGCTGGCAGAGTGCACCTCAAGGTATATTTGCTGAGCTGCAGGTGGTTGATAAGAACCAGGACATAAGTATCTACAAATTCCTTTTCTCCTATACCTCTGTGCTCTGTGGACTACCTGTGTCAGAGTCATGGGGCTAAGGGATTGAAAATGCAATTTTTCTGCTCCCATTCCAGACCTACTGAAGCAGAATCTCTGAGAGTGGTGCTTAGGAATAAGCACCCCGAGTGATTCTCATGCTTACCAAAGTTTGAGAACCACTGGCCTATTTTCTGGCCATTTTCAATATTCTCTACACCAGATCCCTCATCTTATTTTTACTAGAAAAACAAACAAACAAACAAAATACTTGCTAAACATTGTCTTTCACTGGCTTGGGTGGTAGGCATTACTAAAGTTTGAGGTCTTCACTCTAAAAGGTCTGTAAGATGAGACACACATGAAGCCAAAATGTGCCATGCTGTTCACTCTGCCTGAAGTGCCACCATCGTCCCTTCTCCTTATAGCTCTGCTAAATTCCTTCCTTTTCATTCTCAAGACTCAGTTGTCGTAGCTTCTACTATTAACTCTGAAAGTAGAGATCATCGTCTCTTCCTTTTAGCCATTATTTGGACTCACTATGAAGTATACAAACCATAGAAGTGCTGTTACAGTGTGACTGAAACTGTCTCTCCTGTAAAACTGTTCACCTGGGGACAAGGAGAAAATTTCCTATTATTTTATCCCTACGTCCTAAGTGAGTGTCTGGCACAGAATTACTGCTCCATCATTCTGGGTCAATGAATAAATGATAAAAAGAGTCCACAGGATTTGGGGAGGTGACTGAATTTTGAAAGCAGTGTGAATTATGGTGAGATACTAAAATTTAAAACATAATACAGTAATCTTCAAAAGTTATACAGATCCACATTGCCTCTAGCAAACACTTTATTGGACATTGGTAAATTTGGCCCTTCTATGATAAATAAAGGGTGAACCTGGGAAGTTCAGAAACAGAAGAAGATAGAAGCTTAATTTCCTTCCCTTTGGTGGTTCGGGGGGCTTGATAAGGGCAATTAGTTGTTAGTTAACTCAATTTCTTTAAGAATGCCTATTTTTACTTTCAGCTATTACCATCTTAAAGTCTCTGACAAGTATAAGGATAAATATTTGTGAGTCTCTTTAATAATCTGATGCACATAGCTATGTGCATAAAACATAAAATCTATTTTATGCTTTTAGAATTCAAAGTCTCTAATATCTTTAATTCCAGATGCAAATATGTCTAGTTTTACAAATTCCTCTACTTCTAGCCTTTACAGACTATAGATTATATTTTTTACTAGTAAGTATCATAAAAATTCCAATAAGTTGTAATGTCACTAGATTCTAAGATTTACTTTTTTAAATATTTCACATGGCAGAAATCAGGATTGTCTTAAAACTGATGATGTCTTATTTTAAATGAAATATTGTAGCTTTATTCTTATCAATAGTAACACTAAACAACTACAAGGGATCTCAAATGCTGTACTTAAAGCTTGTAAAACATATAGTACTTAGTACATAAAGAATTTGATTACAAGATAATTGAAAAACAAAATTTAACAAATTTCTGTATTTAAATCCTTGAGGAGTAATAAAGAAGACACAACACTTTATTTCTTAAGCTGGTCTGTGAAACAGACCCCAAAGTTTAATGTATATCTTTATCCTTTTCTTTCACACCTGCAGCTAAGACTTTGTGAATGATGTATCTTCAGAAATTAAAGAGTGACTGAAAGTTTATTCCAAATCACGCACATAGGGAAGTACTCTTTGAGCTGAGGAATGTAACTTATGCCAGAAATACAAGCGTACCTTGGAGATGCTGCAGGTTTAGTTTCAGACTGCCACAGTAAATTGCAATAAAGGGAGTTACACAATTTTTTGATTCCCTAGTGCATATAAAATTTATGTCTATACTATACTGTAGTCTATTAAGTGTGCAATAGCATTATATCTAAAAATAATTTACATACAGTAATTTTAAAATACTTTATTAAAAATATTCTACTGAGCCTTCAACAAGTTGTAATTCTTTGCTGGTAGGGATTCTTGCCTTGATGCTCATAACTGCTGACTGTTTAGGGAGGAGTTTGCTGAACGCTGGGGTGGCTGTGGCAATTTCTTAAAATAAGGTATCAGTGAAGTTGGCTGCATTGATTGTTTTCTGTTTCACAAAAAATGTCTCTGTAGCATGTGATGATTGTAGCAAAATGCTATTTGATAGCATTTTACCCACAATATGATATGACTTGAAAAACTGAAGTCAATCCTCTCAAACCCTGTTTGGTTATAAGTTCATGTAGTATTCTAAATTCTGTTGCCATTTTAACAATGGTCACAGCATCTTCGTTAGGAGTAGATTCCTTCTCAAGAAACCACTTGCTCATCCATAGAAAGAAACTCCTTATCCGTTCATTATTTCTTATGAGATTGCAGCAATTAAGTCACATATTTAGGCTCCACTTTTAATTCTAATTATCTTGCTATTTCCATCAAATCTTCAGTTGCTTCTTCTACTGAAGTCTTCAACCCCTGAAAGTCATCAATGAGGACTGGAATCAACTTCTTCCAACCTCCTGTTAATGTTGGTATTTTGACCTCCCCCATGAGTCATAAATGTTCTTAATGGCATCTAGAATGGTGAACCTCTCCCACGAGGTTTTCGATATAGTTTGTCCAAATCCAACAGCTGTGACAGCTACAGTCTTATGAAATGTATTTCTTAAATAATAAAACTTGAAAGTCTACTTGATCCATGGGCTGCAGAATGGATGTTGTGTTAGCAGGAATGAAAACAACACTCATCCCTTTGTTTATCTTCATCAGAGCTCTTTGGTGACCAGGTAAGCAATAATATTTTGAAAGGAGTCTTGTTTTCTGAGCAGTATGTCTCGACAGTGGGCTTATTCAGTAAACCATGCTGTAAACAGGTGTACTGTCATCCAGGCTTTGTTGTTCCATTGATAGAACCCAGGCAGAAATGATTTAACATAATCCTTAAGGACTTTAGCATTTTTGGGATGGCAAATGAGCCCTGGCTTTCACTTAAAGTCACCAGTTGCATTAACTCCCACCGAGAGAATTAGCCTATCCTTTGAAGCTTTTAAGTCAGGCACTGACTTCTTTCTAGCAGTGACAGTCCTAGATGGTATCTTCTTCCAATACAAGGCTGTTTCAACTCCATTGAAAGTTAGGTTGGGTTTTTGTTAGTTGACTTTAAAGAAGAAGTAGCTCATTTGTCCAGAACTTCACTCTTAACCTCTGTGCTTTACAGTCCTCTACAGCCATTTCCTGTGAACCAAGATAGTAAATTTGATCTGCCTCCAAAGATGAGGAGGAGGAAGTTGTGACTGGTGAGTTTTTCTCTTCAATGAAGGCAACAGAGCACAAGTGCAGAATGGGAAAATGTAGGGACAGAAAGTGTTTCTTGTCAACCTTTCTTTTTATTTTTAAGCCCATGAAAAGAAGCTTGCTTGTGGCCTTTCTGTAAGCAGAGGTGTACCTACCGGTTGGAAATATCTTCAGAATGAACACAAATAAATATCCCTAAAACTCTTCTGGATTCAGTTTGTGGGAAAGAGCATTATGAAGGTAAGCAACTTGGTAGTTTTATAAAAAGTACTCAGAAAAATAAGTCTTCGTGTCTTGGGTGGATACATTTTAAAATTGATGTTGATAAAATCATATGAAAACAAGTAAAAGAGTAAAACTGAGATAATCAGCATACCTTTTATTTTCTATAAAATAAATACAGTTGACTTGAACAACACAGGATTGAAGTGCATGGGTCCACTTATATGCAGATAATTTTTCAGTAAATATCTTGGAAAAATTTTTAGAGATTTGTCACAATTTGAAAAAAATAGGTAAATCTTGCAGCTAAAAATATTTTTAAAATTAAGAAAAAGTTAGATATGTCATGAATGCATAAAATATTAGTAAATATTATTCTACTCATCATTTCTACCCTAAAACATATACAGATATTGTATAAAAAGTCAAGATTTCTTAAAACATATGCACTTACAGCCTCACAGGTTGCCATTTGCAGTTGAGAGAAATGTAAACACACATAAAGATGCAGTATTAAATCATAATTGCATAAATTAATCATAATATATACTCTACTACTGTAATAACTTTATAGCCATCTCCTGTTGGCAATATGGTGAGCTCAAGGGTTGTATCTGCTTAAAACACCATGTGATGCTAATCATCTCCACATGACAGTTCATCCTTCCAGTAAATTGCATATCCCAATAAAAAGTGATCCCTCAGCATTTTTGCATATTTTTAATCGTGTTTAGTGCAATCATAAACCTTGAATAATACCATTGGACTAATATGAAGAGCCACTAGTGACACAAGAAGTGCTCCCAAGAAGCAGAGAAAAGTGACATTATAAGAAAAAATTGAATTGCTTGCTATAGATAGCATAGATTGAGTTCTGCCCCTGTGGTTGAATGCCGCTTGAAGACAAATCCAGCAAAAAAAACCATTGTAAGGAAAAAAAAAAAAAAACTTATGAAACTGCTGCTGCAGCTATTTCAGCAGCATAAAAACTTTGTACATTTTGTCAAGTATTTTTTGTCTTGTATTGAAAATGCAGCTTTTATGTGGGTACAGCATTGCAATAAGAAAGGCATATCTATAGCCTCAAATCGAGTTCAAGACAAAGTGAAGTCATTATGTGAGAAAAAGGGAAAAGAAAGTGAAGGATCTAAATCTAGAGGGTTTAATGTCAGTAAGGGATAGTTTGATCATTTTGAAAAGAGGTTTGGCTTTAAAAATGTGAAGATAAAAAGAGAAGCAACTTCTGCTGACCAAGAGGCTGCAGATGAGTACCCTGACACAATTAAGAAAATCATTAAGGAGGAAAGATATTTGCTTGATCCAGTTTTTAATGCAGACCAAAGTTCCCTATTTTGAAAAAATGCCATAAAGGACATTAATTAGGAAGGAAGAGAAGTGAGCAGCACCAGGATTGAAAGTAGGAATGGATAGGTTAACTCTACTGTTTTATGCAGATGCAGTGAGGTTTATGATCAGGACTGCCTTTGCCTATAAAGCACCTAAACCCCAAGATTAAAAAAATTTTTTTATTATACTTTAAGTTCTGGGTTACATGTGCAGAACGTGCAAGTTTGTTACATAGGTGTATACACATGCCATGGTGGTTTGCTGCATACATCACCCCATCATCTACATTAGGTATTTCTCCTAATGCTATCCCTCCCTTCTCCCCCCACACCCTGCTATCCCTCCCCTAGATCTCTACCTCCAAACAGGCCCTGGTGTGTGATGCTCCCCCTCCCCCCATATCCATGTGGCCTCATTGTTCAACACCCACTTATGAGAGAGAATGTGCAGTGTTTGGTTTTCTGTTCTTGTGTCAGTTTGCTGAGAATTATGGTTTCCAGCTTTATCTATGTCCCTGAAAAGGAAATGAACTCATCCTTTTTTATGGCTGCATAGTATTGTATGGTATATATGTGCCACATTTTCTTTACCAAGTCTATCATTGATGGGCATTTGGGTTGGTTCCAAGTCTTTGCTATTGTGAACAGTGGCACAATAAAATACGTGTGAATGCGTCTTTATAATAGAATGATTTATAATCCTTTGGGTATATACTCAGTAATGGGATTGCTGGGTCAAATGGTATTTCTATTTTTAGATCCTTCAGGAATTGCCGCGCTGTCTTCCACAATGGTTGAACTAATTTACAGACCCACCAACAGTGTAAAAGCATTCCTATTTTTCCACATACTCTCCAGCATCTATTGTCTCTTGATTTTTTTAATGATCGCCATTCTAACTGGCCTGAGATGGTATCTCAATGCGCAAACCCTGAGATTTGAAGGGAGAAGATAAACACCAGCTGCTAGTCTTTCGTTTGCAGAACAATAAGGCCTGTACACTGAGAACCCTTTCTGGATTGGTTCCACTGATGTTTTTTCCTGAAGTAAAGAAGCACCTAGCCAGTAGGAGACTGCCTTTTAAAGTTCTTTTGATATTGGACAAATTGGACAAGACCCTTGGTCACCCAGAACCCCATGAGTTCAATGCCAAAGGAATCAAAGTGGTCTACTCACCAGCACCACCTCCGCCACACACACACACATCTCTAAATCCAGGGGGTCATAAAGACCTTTAACATTCATTACACACAGTAATCTATAGGGAAAGGATTCTCAACGCTGTGGAAGAGAACCCTGACATGGAGAACATCATGAAAGTTTGGAAAGATTACACCACTGAAGATGCCATTGTTATAGAAAAAGCATGAAAACCATCAAGGCTGAAAAAATAAATTCCTGGTGAAAAAAACTGTGTCCAGATGTACATGACTTCACAGGATTTATCACAGAGCCAATCAAGGAAATCATGAAAGTGATTGTGGATATGGTAAAAAAGATTATGGGGAAGGGTTTCAAGATACATATCTTGGAGAAAATCAAGAGCTAATAGATATCACACCAGAGGAATCAAAAGATGATTTGATGGAGAGTGCTTCCAACCCTGTGACAGATTATGAGGAAGAAGATATAGAAAGAGCAATTCCAGGAAATACATTGACATTAGGCAATCTGGCGGAAGTTTCCTATTATTCAAGACTGCTTTTGACTTCTTTTACAGCCTAGACCCTTCTATGATAGAGGTGCTGAGACTAAAATAAATGGTTGAATAAGGATTGGTACCAGATAGGAACATTTTTAGAGAAATGAAAAAGCAAAAAAGTTAGACAGAAATTACAAAGGATTTCTGTAAAGTTACACGGAGTGTGACCTGCCTCTCCTGCCTCCTCTTTCACCTCCTTCATGTCTTCCATCTCTGCCACTACTGAGACAGTAAGATCAACCTCTCCTTCTCTTCCTCCTGGTCAACATGGCTAGAAGGAATGATTGCTAATAGGCTGGAATTTACTTGGGAGGATGAAAATGTTCTGAAATCGGATTGTAGTTATGGCTGCACAACCTTGTAACTATACTAAAATCATTTGAGTTTACACTTTAAATGTGTGAATTGTGTGGCTTGTGAATCATATCTCAGTAAAACTGTTTATAAATATACAGTGGTATATTCTCAGCCTAGTCAACATGATGGCAAGGGTGAAGATGTTTATGATGATCCATGTCAACTCAGTAAATAGTAAATATGTTTTTCTTTTCCTTATAATTTCCTTAATAACATTCTCTTTTGTCTAGCTTACTTTATTGTATGAATACAGTATATAATATATATAGCACACAAAAAATGTCTTAATCAAGTATTCATGTTATTGGTAAGGCTTGTAGTCAACAGTAGGCTATTAAAATTTTGGGGAAGTCAAAAGTTATATGTGAATTTTTCACTGCACAGGGGGTTGGTTCTCCTAACCCCGTGTTGTTCCAGGCTCAACTGTAATCTATGTATAACCTCATCTAAGAAGACCTTCCAGATTTTTCCAAATAGAATTAACTTTGTTCTCTTTTCTGATTCTCATCAAATTTGGTTGTATGCTCATTTCAGCCTTCCTAGTATTAATTATTTAGCTATCTATATCCCCAAAAAGATGGTGAGCTCCAGGAGACAGGATGTTGGTTTAATAATAATAATAATAGTTATTACAACTGACATATAAATAATATATAGTTTACAAACAATGCCTACAACATTTTCTCATTTTTTCTTTTTTTTCTCTCACAAGAGCCTTGTAATAGCTTTGCATTCTTTTCAGCACTGCATATAATACTTTGCATATAGTAGGCTTTCAAAAATATTTTGGGGCTTAATTAAAATTAAAACTGGATTGTGTGGGTTGAATTAAAATGCTGCCAATTCTCTGAATTTTTATGTCCTGTAAAGCAATTAAGAGAAGGAAAGAAGATTTTGAATAATTTCACTTTTTCATTTGTATACAACCAATGTATCCCTAAAACAAAAATTAAGAAAGTATTCATTTAGCCATTAAAATTAATTATGAAACATCTAAACAAGGCAGGATTTTAAACATTTATTTATTTATCTATTAGGTCAGAACATCTCTTCTTTTTCCTGCTCCCTTTGTTCGTTCACTTGACTCTTGGTCAGTATTCTTTAAGTTCCACATACAGTGTGTACATTGGGGAAATGAAAGGTCACACCACGCTTCAAGAAAGTGATTCTGTTGGTAACCAGGACCAAGCCAGTTATGCCCATTCAACAACGTATTTTCTTTTAGAAGACACAGTTTCTCATAGCCCTTTGAGGCCTGCTTAAATTCTGACATTTCTCTATTGGAAAATGAACTGAAGTTATCAACCTACATTTCACTACACAGATCACTAGTAACTAGAGCTGAATTATAAGCTTCTATGATAACTATCCCATGAGACAAAAGCTTTCTCACCATTATGCACTTGAAGTAATCTGATTTCTCTACCAAGACTCTTCTATTTTCATGAGCAATTTAAAAATCACTTACAATTCAGAAAATAGGTCACCGCTTATTTAGTTTTTTAAGACAGTTGCAAGCAGTGTCTACCCCATGTCAAAAACTGTTTCTTATTTTCATAGGACTCAAATTGCCAATGGCTCTCTGGAAAAGAAAGGTCATTCAAAAAGAAATGGAATGAGAGAGTGGCTAATATAAAGAACTACACTTGTTTTAAAAAATGAAAAGCAAAACCTGAGACAAGCACTTAGAAGCTAAATACTATCAGAATGAGAGGTAAGACTCCTGGAAAAAGAATAAAAACAGAATAGAGTTGAGTACCAGAAAGGAAACCAATGAAGTAAGAAATTATTAATGGTATTTGCATGTAGAGTACATGTAAGAAGAGAAATAAAAGTAATGGTCTTGGAATTCCACCTACAACTCAGACTTTTTTCCTGTAGGCATTCAGAACATATTACACAAAAGAAGAACTCTGCCAACAATAGTGGCTGTGTTTCCATAGTCCCTTGATGGACGAGAGCTTGTTTTAAGGAATAAGGAACCAACAAAGGTTTTTGTGCAGATGGTGACATGGTCTATTTGTGCTTTAAAAGGGCCCCATCTGGCAGCATCACAGAAAAATTATTGGAAGAAAAGAATAACAATAAAGAGTTGGAAGATACTGCAATATTCTAAAAATGAGAGAAAAGTCCAGAATCCAAAACTGACATTGAATTACAAGGAGATAATGAATAGGAAGGACATTAGGAGGTAAATTCAGTTGGACTCAGTAACTCTTGGGCTAAGGCGAGTAAAAAGGAATAAGGTGAAACTAGAAAGAGAGTTCATTATTTTACTGTGCCTTAAACAGACGGTGGGATGGTGTTGACTATATTAATTAGGAGATGAAAGAGGAGATGCCTTGAGAAGATAAGCACAGTCAATGGAGTTGACCCTCACTTAGCTGCAAATCACATCGTCTGCATGAGGCATAGTTGAAATAAAAGGAGTGGCCACAATATATTAGAAAGAGTAACACTTCTAAAAATCTACAGGAACACATTTATACTAACTGACAGATTGCTCTTAAAATAATACAATTGATTTCCATTCTTCATTAAGTACACAATTAACTTTAAAGGCATTAAGATATAATGGATAGATGTGTCCTGCTTTACCAGTTTAGAGCACAGAAAACTTCTAACATTTAAAATAATATGATGAGCACCTTCCCATCCTTCTTAAGACAAGATTGTTTATTTTCCTTCCTCACTACTGAGTTCTAGGGATCTGTCCTTCTTGCTAACCTTCACTGGGAGAAAAATAAAAGCACCTCATTAATTTACTCGAGGCCTCCTTCTCTGCCACACCGCACTATGCTAGAAGGCTGCCATAGTTAGGTATCCTGGGCAGGTCTCCGCCATGGAGAGGCCCCTTAGAGGCTTGCCTGCTTATCTGAAATGAACTAAGCTGAAGCTTCAGGCCCCTCACCTAGAAGGGCCCCCTCCATGTCCCTGGAATGGGTCCTAGCAACTGTATATTCTGAATTTTGTATTCTTTTATTTTTAAAGAAGGAACCCAACATATTATAAATTCAGGTTCAGTAACACCTGAAGTGGCCCTTTCCCACACTGTCACTGCTGCTCTGAGAGCAGCGTCTCCACATTGGGGAAGGAAGCAGCCTCCTGACTCTCTCTGTCCAGTTTATGGTTATGCCATACCATGGTAGGCTAGGGTTATCCACTAACCAGGCCAAGCCTTTATGGTTCTGGGACTTATAAGATCCCCTTGAGCTCCTAAAATATTGCTCGATTTTATCAAATACACAGCGGAAATCTCTAATTGTGACTATACTAAACAGAGCTCTTCTGATGCTTCTGTGAACCTAGTGGAACCTAAACTGAAAGCTACCACCTGGATTTAAACTTTTGGATGAATGTGAATAATTAAGGAGGCATATTCAGGATTTAACTTTATTTCAGAAAGAGAAATGTCTCACATACTAACTTGTCTTCTTATTCAATTAACTTAATATAAGAGTTCATGTTTCACTGAAATATGATTTTTTTGCACTATTTTGATTTTTCAGGATAAAAATTCCAAACATTACAATATTCCTCTTTTTAGAAAATTAATCTAGCAGAAATTTTATCTTTTATTTTTCTACCTTTAAAAGGCCAAGTTGGAGTTTATTTTAAAAACTTGGGGATAAGTAAACTTTTAAATAAGATACCAAAAAGACAGCAAAAATCTCTAAGAATGTTTTAAAAATGAGAAGTGAGGGAGAGACTAGCCCTACAAACTATGAAAACATGTTGCAACATTAAATCAGGAGCAGTGTGAAGACGTGAGAATGACCCCAGGACCACCCAAAGCCCACACCTGGCAACTATGTCCTGCCACCACGCCCAAAGAGAAAGGTGAAGAACTAACCAGAGAAGATCCGTGAGGCTGTCTGCTTCTGCTAAACCTGCTTTCTCCAAAGCCAGAGCCCAAGCCTAAAAAGGCCCCTGCAAAGAAGGGAGAGAAGGTACCCAAAGGGAAAAAGGGAAAAGCTGATGCTGGCAAGGAGGGGAGTAACCCTGCAGAAAATGGAGATGTCAAACAGACGAGGCACAGACAGCTGAAGGTGCTGGAGATGCCAGGGAAAGTGTGTGCATTTTTTATAACTGTGCACTTCTGGTGATTATACAGTTTGAAATACCATTTTTATCAACTTTCATAAAAATGCAGAACTGTACTTTATTTTTTGTTTAATCTATCTTGTTAGCACACAGAACACTTCATTGTTGTTTTGGTATGAGTATATGTCACTCATACAATGTCTCTGAAGCTGGATTGATGTGGGGATAACACCTTTACCTTCTAGTTTTGAGAGACTTACTCTCGGCTTCCAGGAAGAGGGATTCCCTGACTTTGACACACATGGCCACTTTGGCACACAAAAGCCTTGCGATATGGAAAAACAAATTCGTTTTTATTCTGTCTTTCAGCATAGACTTAACTCCCTTAAGCCCAGACATCTGTTGGGACCTGACCCCCAGTAGTTGGTTACCACTGTGTCAGGTAATCTGGACTTTCCAGCGATGCCACTGAAATGGCACCCCTCAAAAGAGCAGTGGTTCCCTTGCGAGATTGTGGATCTTCAGATAAATTCTGCCATTTTCATGCCACTTCCTGAATGTCGGCTCATGAAAAGCTGTTAAACAACATGTGAAATGTGAAATGTTGTCAACCCTCACTCTAAACTTTCCCTGTTCAGAGCATCAGATGAAGACTTCTCTGGTTTTTACAGTGGCTTTCTGATTTTTGGTAATCCATTGAAGACGGGAGTTTGGAGTTTGAAAGTTGTATACTATCAGAGATTGCCTACCCATGTCCTGCCTGAAACACGATGATTGTTTATGGAAAATATCTTTAATAAACCTGGATACATTTTGGCTTGGGGAAAAAAAGTTAAATCAGTGTGACAGTAACAAAAGGGTATCATTAACTAAATACATACTGGCTATTATTTTCAATGATAATGTTATTATAAAGACTTCTTATACCCACCCCCACCCCCCAAAGCAGTAGTTAGTCACCTAAGGTATCTGAGTCTCCTTTGTCCGAATTCTCAGTTTCCTGGATTGCATGTTTGCTTTTACCCAGGAATAAATGCTTGAGTGGTCGCTCCTGACTCAGCTTTGGTCATGTGTCTACAGGTGGCTCCTTTGCTAGGATCCCCTTGAACTGCTAAAATATCGCTTGATATCAAATACACAGTAGAAATCTCTATTGTGAATATATTGAATATAGCCTTTTCGATGCTTCTGTGAACTTAATGGAACCTAAAGTGAAAGCTACCACCTTGATTTAAGCCTCTGGTGTAACATTCTTTTGCAGTGCTTCTGAGGAAATCACTTTTGGAGGAACTGCTTTTGCTTCTGTAACGGTCCCTCACCTCCGTCGTCTCATCACTGATCTGCTTGCCTCTGCTTTCCATGTTCCAGAAACCCTCACTGTCCTGGCCTGCAGGTGGGGTCCTCCTGGATTTCCAGAGTTGCTATGTGTTTTATTTTTAAAATTTATACTGTCATTTCAATGGGATCTGGGAAGATGGAGAGGAAATGTGGACATAGTTCACTTTGTTGAAATCTTTTATGTTTGTACTGAAATCAGTTATCTCCCAAAATGAGTTTTTTCTTTGATATTTACTTCTGTTTTTCTTTGGATAATATTTGGTATTTTATATCTAATTCTTCAATTCGCTTGATTTTTTTCCCCAAATATGTAACCTATTATCCTAGGAACATTTACAAAATTACTAATCATTTTCCTCTCTTTTTTCCTTTAAGAAAACTCATATATGCATATTTATATAAAAACGGTCTAAAATATAATGATTAAAAAATAAGTTGGGATAAATTAGTTTATGTTTGTAAAGAGGGGAGATATACAGGTTACTATATTTTATGCACTATATATACTTGTGTATAAATAGAAACATTATGGAAGGCTGGAAATCTAACTTAATTTCTTTTGGAGAGTAGAAATGGGAGAAAATCAGAGGCGAGGGATTCATAATTTCAAGAGTGGAGATAGTGTGGACCAAGAGCAACAACAACCAACAGGTGTTTGGGAGAAAAAAAAAGGGCTAGGGCCAGCTGACTCTAGAGTTTGCCGAAAAATACAATCACTAGCACACATGTTCATATATTGAACATTCAAAAAAAATAGCTAACATGTATCGAAATCTTACTATATGCCAGGTACTATTCTCATAGCTTTATATGTACTGATTCATTTACTCCTCATAAAAAATTTATGCAGATGAGTACTACTCATCACAATTGTAAAGACAGGGAAACTGGAGCACAAAGTGGTCACATAAATTTTTCTGTATACGCTATGGATGGCACAGCCAGAATCTGACCCCAGTTGAAGTGGTATTAGAGCCCCCCTTAATTGCTGTGTTCTATTGCACAGACTTAACTATCACCTCCTGAAACTTTTCTCACACCCTTCTTACAGTCACCAGTGCTCCCAAAAGCAGAACCTTTATTCCAACCATAGAAATGAAAAGCTTCACTTTGAAGACATGAAATATACTCTAAAGATAAATACTACGTTATTTAAACATTCAACTAAAAGTATAGTCTGGAAAAGAAGAGTCAACAAATATTTGAGAAAAACCTAGGGCAAAGAAAACATAAATTTCAACAGAGATTTAACTCCAAGAAAACAGAGTTAGGCCGGGCGCGGTGGCTCAAGCCTGTAATCCCAGCACTTTGGGAGGCCGAGGCAGGTGGATCACGAAGTCAAGAGATCGAGACCATCCTGGTCAATGCGGTGAAACCCCGTCTCTACTAAAAATACAAAAAATTAGCTGGGCATGGTGGTGGGTGCCTGTAATCCCAGCTGCTCAGGAGGCTGAGGCAGGAGAATTACCTGAACCCAGGAGGCAGAGGTTGCGGTGAGCCGAGATTGCGCCATTGCACTCCAGCCTGAGTAACAAGAGCGAAACTCCGTCTCAAAAAAAAAAAAAAAAAAAAAAAAAAAAAGGAAACAGAGTTAATACAGAAAGAAGAATAAATTATCAAAACAAGTCTAGTTCCTGTTTTCAGAGATACAAGGGGTTGTGTTCACACATACTATGCACAGATTGGAGTTCTTGATTAAAACATGGTTACTGAAATTAAAAACGGATTATCTAACAGAATGAACATAAAAGATCAAGTTAGTGAATTGCAAGACTAAGGAATTCTCTCAAGATACCATATGAAGGCAAGAGCATAAAAGTGTAAGAACAAATGTTAGAATAGAATCAGAAATTCTGTAATAGACAGAATAATGATCCCACAGTGATGTACTACATCCTGCATCCTAATCCCTAGGACCCTTGAATATGTTACCTTACACAGCAAAAGTGACTTTGCAGCTGTGAGTAAATTTGGGATCTTGATATGGGGAGATTATCCCAGATTACTTACCTAGGCCCAGTGTAAGGCCTTACATAGGTAGGGTCCCCTATGTAGGGTCCTTTTATGTGAAAGAGCAAGGAGGATCATAGGCTTAAAACAGATTCATCATCTTAAAGTTCTGTAGTTCAGAAATCTGAAATGGGGTTCACTGGGATAAAATCAAGGAGTTGGAGGGGCTGCATTCCTTTCTGGAGGATTCTCTAGGGGAGGACCCATTTCCTTGCCCCTTCCAGCTTCTAGAGGCTAACCCCGTTCCTTGGCTCTTGGTGTCCATCTTCAAAGCTAGCAACAGTGAGTAGGGTTCTCACATCATATTGTTGACCTCTTTTGACTCCTTATTCCACATTTACAAACCCTTGGGTCCATCCGAAGAGTCCAGAACAATCTCCTTATTTTAAGGTCAGCTGATTAGCCACCTTAATTTCAGCTACTCTCTTAAATTCCCCTTTGCCACATGATGTAACATATTCATAGGTTCTGGGAATGGGCACATGGACATCTTGAGGGGACTGATATTCTGCCTGCTAATCCCACCCCCACTCCTAATTTTAGATGCCTCCTGTCTTTACAGTGTGGATCATTTCAGGCATGCCCAAACTTCTACCTTTAAACTTTCCCATTCCAATGTAGTCTTGGAAGATGGGGTTCGGTGGGAGGCAGAGGGTTGTTTTTTAGTGTACAAAGACAAAAATATACTGGGTGTCCTGTCCAGTGCACCCTTCAGGGATTTTCAGCCTTTTGTGGTCTTTGAACTACTTTGCAATTTTGTAAGTTGTAGAAAACTAGAAAACTGATAATAATGCAAATGACTTTGTTTATAGAAATGCAAGTATTGTCTAGGGGAATACAATTGATTATTACCCTTTTGATATTGACCTATTTTGCCAGTTTGTATTCATTTTCATATTATTCATTTCATTTTGCCAGTTTGTATTCATTATAGTCTTAGCATGTCTATATATTTGTTTTCTCTTCGAATACTCCTTTGAAATGAGTTGTAACATTTTATCGATTTCCTCATTAATGAGTTAAATAAAATTTTGGTCACCATTAATAATTAAACTCCTTAAAATTTTTTTCCTTTAACAGTAAAACTTTTATTATAAATGTATATTTAGTCGTTGAAAAAAATTCTTAAACTCAAATGTCCATGGAAATGTAGTTAATTATTTGTTAAAATTTCTCTGATTACCTTTACCAGAGATCCCACCTGCTCACTGTGGATGGAGTGGTGAGGAATCTAATGTTAACCCAATCCAGAATAAAATTTAGTCTTACCCAATGATGTAAACTCAGGTTTAACACAGACTTTTTCACTCAATCTCTCAGTTTCCCTCCTACTTCTTTTCACTTATCTTAATGTTTATAGAGAACAGGGTAGGACTATAATGATCTAATTACTTCCTCGCTGGATTCTCAGTGGCTCTGCAGACCACTCTCTTTATTCCATCTTGCACATGGCCTCCAGCCTAGAAGTCTGTGCTAAAACCTCATTTCTCTCCAGCAGTCTTTATGAGGGGCCCAATGCTTCTCAACTCAGTGTGGATGCCACACAGACACCCAAAAACGGTTGGGAGAGCCAACTAGACCCTCTTTTGCCAGATCACACAGTTTGTTTGACAGGAGGAATGTGGACTTAAAAATGTGTAAAATATACTTAAGTATTTTTTTTTAAATTTTATGAAAACTAGTGATGTTTAAAAGTTGCAATTGAAGAAAGTAAAAATATCTGGAGCTTTACACCCATGGACAGTGGATTCCTCTAGATGGTGGATTTATGATGGTTTTTAAAGTTTGTTTCTCTTTTTTATATTTTCTGATTTTAAATAAAGAACGTATAAAACTTTTTGCTTAGGATTGTTCTGGCTATTGGGGCTTTTTTGGTTCCATATGAATTTCACAGTCTTTTTTTCTAATTCTATACAAAAATGATGCTAGTAATTTGATTGGAAGACTGTTAAATCTATAGATAGCTTTGGGCATTATGTCCATTTTTAATGGTATTGATTCTTCCAGTCCATGAGCAGAAAATGTTTTTCTATTTGTTTGTGTCATCTACGATTTCTTGCAGCAGTGTTTTGTAATTCTCCTTGTAGAGATCTTTCACCTCCTTTGTTAGATGTAGTCCTAGGTATTTTACATATTTATTGGTTTTTATAAAGAGGACTGAGTTCTTGATTTGACTCTCAGCTTGAGCATTAGATAGGAAAAAGAAAATATTGTACTATATGTCATAGAATACTATGCAGCTGTTAAAAAGAATGAAATGATGGCCTTTACAGCAACATAGCTGCAGCTGGAGTTCATCGTCCTAAGTGAATTAGCATAGGAACGGAAAACCAAATACCACATGTTCTCACTTATACATGGGAGCTAAATACTGGATACTCGTGGACACACAGATGGCAACAATAGACACCGGGGACTAATAGAGGGAGGAGGTTGGGAGGGAAAGGTTGAAAAACTACCTATTGGGTACTATGCTCACTACCTGGGTTATGGGATCATTTGTATCCCAAACCTCAGCATCATGCAATATATCTATGTAACAAATCTGTTCATGTACCCTCTGAATCTAAAAGGTGAAATTATTTACAAAAAAGAATATATATAAAAGTAGTGTAACGAGTCATTTTAAAGCAAGGTACAAAATTATATGAATAATGTGCCCTCAATATGTTATAGAAGTATATAGAAAAAAGACATAAATAAATTACACTGAGATGTTAACAGTGATTATTTTAAGCTTGTGGACAATGTTTTTGTGTATATGTATCTATTAAAATGTAGAGATACACCAAAACAGTTTCTGATATTGGTTGGACTCAGCTGTTTTGAGCCTAGTGTTTTGTTGCTGTTGTTTTTAAAATTTCTCCAGTGATCGAGCCTAGTGTTAATGAGTCTAGACTTCAGTTGGGTAATAGTCCCTTCAGAAGTATTGTGTTCCACAGATACTGACTAAATATCAATGTATTTCATACGGTCAGGCTTTGGGTGCCCAGCAAATCTCATCTTAAATTGTAATTCCCATAATCCTCCTAAGCCCCACCTGTGAAGGGGGAGACCAGGTGGCAGTAATTGAATCATGGGGGCGGTTTTCTCCTTGCTGTTCTTGTGATGGGGAGTGAGTTCTCACGAGATCTGGTGGTTTTATAAGGGGGGCGGGGTCTCCTCCTTCACTCTGTACTTCTTCGTGTTGCATTGTGGGAAAGGTGCCTTGCTTTCCCCTTCACCTTCCGACATGATTTTAAGTTTCCAGAAGCCTCTCCAGCCCTGCTGAACTGTGAGTCAGTTAAACTTCTTTCCATTATAAATTATCTAGTCTTGGGCAATTTTTTATAGCAGTATGAAAATGGATTAATACAGTATTTATCAAGGTTCTACAAAGGAACAGAACTAATAGCAGTGTGTGTGTGTGTGTGTGTGTGTGTGTGTGTGTGTGTCTGTGTTTATGTGTAGCGTCCAAGTCTGGTTTCTTATTTAAGCAAGAATGATCCTAGTGTTTTGTATTAAATCTGATGTATATATGTAGTCTCTGATGCATGTACTTCAGGAAGCGTCTTTCTGGCCATAGCTTAGTGATAATGTTTTAATTTTGTTGCTACTGCTGTTGTTTCAAATCAGGAATGGATGTAATAGAGGTTTTTCTTCCAAAATGCTTTCAAAGATTTTTTTTTTTTAATTGCAAGCCATCCTTCACTTACTGAGCTAGGTCTTAGCCATGACATATTCCTCTTTTTAACATGTGTCAGAATTTTATTTGTTATTTGTTTTTTTCTATCTGTGTTCATAACTGAGGTTGGTTTGTGGTTTCTTTTTTTCTACTACCCTTGTCCAATTAAGGTATGAAGATCATATTAGCCTTACAGAATAAGATGAGAAACTTCTCATGATTTTCATATATATATATATATATATATATATATATACACATACATACACACACATATATTTAGAGAGAGAGAGAAATATAGTTTTTAAAATTGGTTCACACAATTGTAGAACTGGAAAGTCCAAATTTTGCAAGCAGGCCAGAGACCCAGGGGAAGAGTTGACATTGCAGTCTTAAGTCCAAAGTCAGTCTGAAGGCAGAATTTTTTTTTTTTTTTTTTTTTCAGGGGACCTCAGTCTTTGCTCTTAAGGCCTAGATGAGGCCCACATGCTTTAAAGAGGGTAATCTGCTTTACTCAGTGTCAACTGATTTAAATGTTAATCACGTCGTTAAAAATGCAACCACAGTAAAATCAAGACTGGTGTTCCACTGAACAACTGGACACCATATTCTAGCCAAATTAGCACATAAAATTAATCATC